TTAGGGGTTATGGTTATGGTTTAGTTAGGGTTGGGTAAGGGTTGGGTTAGGGTTGGGTTAAGTTAGGGGTTATGGTTTAGTTATGGTTAGGGTTTAGTTATTGTTCGGTTAGGGTTGGGTTAAGTTAGGGGTTATGGTTAGGGTTTAGTTATGGTTAGGGTTTAGTTATTGTTCGGTTAGGGTTTGGTTGGGTTAGGTTTAGCGTTATTATTAGAGTTTAGTTAGGTTTGGGTTAAGGGTTAGGGTTAATGGGTTAGAGTTTTGGACCAGTAGCAGCTCAGGGAGGAGAAGAAGAGGGGGGAGGAGCAGGAACGAGTCGGGACGCTGCTTTGAATCTGCTTTGAATTTCCAGGAGTGGAAGCTGCCTCCCGTCTGTGGCCGACTGGAGCTTTCCCCTGATATTTATATCGACTGTGAGGATCCGGTTATCGTAAACGTGACGACTTAAACATGGCGACTTATTGTAAATATGAACATGAAAACTTATTTTAAACATGGCAACTTATTTTAAACATGGCAACGTATTGTAAACTTGGCAACTTATCGTAAACATGGCGACTTATCGTAAACGTGGAGACTTATTGTAAACATGGCGACTTGTAAACATGGCTACTTGTCGTAAACATGGCGACTTGTCGTAAACATGGTGACTTATTGTAAACGTGAAAATTGCAACTTATTGTAAACATGGCGACTTATCGTAAACGTGAACATGGCAACTTATTGTAAACATGGCGACTTGTAAACATGGCGACTTATCGTAAACATGGAGACTTATCGTAAACATGGCGAGTTATCGTAAACGTGGCGACTTTTCAGTAAACATGGCGACTTATCGTAAACATGGCGGCTTACCGTAAACATTGTGGCTTAAACATAGCAACGTAAACATGGCGACTAATCGTAAACGTGGAGACTTAGCGTAAACATGGCGACTTATCGTAAACATGTCGACTTATTTTAAACTTGCCGACTTTTCAGTAAAGATGGCGACTTATCGTAAACGTGAACATGGCAACTTATTGTAAACATGGCGACTTATCGTAAACGTGAACCTGGCAACCTTTTTTAAACATGGCAACTTATTTTAAACATGGCAACGTATTGTAAACTTGGCAACTTATCGTAAACATGGTGACTTAGCGTAAACGTGGCGTCTTGTCGTAAACATGGCGACTTGTCGTAAACATGGTGACTTATTGTAAACGTGAACATGGCGACTTATTGTAAACATGGCGACTTATCGTAAACGTGAACATGGCAACTTATTGTAAACATGGCGACTTGTAAACATGGCGACTTGTCGTAAACATGCCGACTTGTCGTAAACGTGGCGACTTGTCGTAAACGTGGCGACTTTTCGTAAAGATGGCGACTTATCGTATGCATGGCGACTTATCGTAAACATGAACATTGCAACTTATCGTAAACATGGCAACTTATTGTAAACATGACAACTTATCGTAAACATGGCAAATTATCGTAAACATGGCAATTTATTGTAAACATGGCAACTTATTGTAAACATGGCAACCTATTGTAAACATGGCGACTTTTCAGTAAACTTGAACATGGCGACTTGAACATGGCAAATTATCGTAAACATGGCAATTTATTGTAAACATGGCAACCTATTGTAAACTTGGCGACTAATCGGTAAATATAAATGTCCCCTTGGGGATCAATAGAATATCTATTTATCTATCTATCTATGGCAGCTTTTGGGTGAACATGGCGCCTTAAACATGGCGGCTTCTGGCTGAGCGGCGCCCACTTAACCCTTTAAAGCCTGATCCAAGAAAAAAACAGAACAGAAAGTTACTTTTTTTTGTTTGATTTCCTTATTTGGCCTTTTAACAAAATATGTAAAAAGAAAAAACAGAAATACATTTTTAATATTAATAATTTATTACTATGCGATAAGTCCAGATTATTTTTTGTATAGTCTTCTGCCCCCTGTTATCAGGTGTATCTGATTGTGTTCAATAGGATTTTGAGCAAAGTTTTTACCATTAAATTAAGCAAAAGGTGTCAGACGCAAAACATTTCAGAAACCGTATCAGATATGATACATTTGGCATTACAGGGTTAAACACTGTTTTTTTTCACATGTTTTCTATTTAGATTTCTTACTAAATCATTCTTCTTATTTATCCCAATGAAACATGATAAATAGTAAAGATAAACTCCCACAGAGCAGCTTTAGGGTTTCACCTTCAGCTGTGTCAAGTCAAGTCAACTTTATTTATATAGCACATTTAAAATAACCAAGGTTGCCAAAGTGCTGTACATAAAAAGCATGTATATGTGATTTTAATGTAAAAATAACATAAATAGATAAATAAGATACATAAAAAAGGTAAAAAAGATGCTCTACCTCAACCTAAGGTTAAAATGTTAAAAGCCATGTCAAATAAATGGGTTTACTGTGTGGTCCAGATGGGTGAATTTTCATCATTTCAGACAGTTTTTTATTTTCTGAAGGCATAAAAAAGATTAAAGTAGCTCCTCCAATAACGCGTTAAACATGTGGGAACCCCCCCCCCCCCAAAAGGGCTGAGTGTGTCCCTACTAGGGTTGTCACGATACTAAAATTTTCAACTGGATACCGATACTCAGGAAAATATTAGATACCATTTTCAATACCACAAGGATAAAAATGTAACTGAATTTTGACAGTTAAGTTTCTTTCATTTCAAACTGACCTGTTACTGATGGTGGCCCACATTAATGACCCTGACCCTAACCCTGACCCTAACCCTAACCCTAACCCTGACCCTACACCCTTCATAATTGTGAGAAATAAATATTTTTTGGTTAAACTTGTTTAGAATTATTCTACAAACCTATTTAACATCCACTATTTTAACATAACATTATGGATAGAATTTAATTAAGTGTTCGAAAGATTAATTTCACTATTTTTAAATTAAAATATTGCCATGAGGCATTACCATTTTCTTGCCTGGGATCTTCCTATTGGTGACTTGGATGTGGGCGGAGTTGGATATGTACTTGATTAATGTTGGCGTGTTGTTATTAGCCATTAGCCGCAGCTAGCAGTTCAAGGCTAACGTCTTGTTGATGACCATAAACAACGTAAAAAAAAAAATCAGAGAGAAGGGGGTGGTATCGATACTTTTGAAAATGAGTATCGTATCCGGATACAACATTTTAGCATCTATACTTTTTTGAGTATCGATACTTTTGACAACCCTAGTCCCTACAAACAGAAACAGAAAGTAGCCTCGCCCCCCCCCACTCCCCCCCCCCCCCCTATCAGCCTGTAATTAGAGGAATGAGAGGCGCGTTAGTTTCGGCACGCTGAGCAGAGCTGAACCGCGTCTGTGGGCTTCTGCTCACATATCTCACACATTTCTGCTTTATGTAACTGAACAGAGACTGTAAAAAAAACAAAAAAAAAACAGAACAAAAACAGAGAGAAACAGCTGCGTCTTACATCAGAAAAGCACCCAAATAGATCT